ATAAATAAACAAGCGTTCCTCATGATTTTGAGAGACTTGCAGCCTTTCTCTTTGCGCCAGGAAACAAACTTTATTCTTAAGATCCTCTCATACTGTGAAAATCTACCACTTTTTAAGGAGTTCATCTATATTTCCTCGTGGCATAAATAATTTTTCAAGTACGCAAAAACTGTAAAAGACTAAGAATTCGCTAAAAAGAGTCAGTAAATTGAGAAAAAGGAGTTGTAAGTTATAGGCAAAAGCCATTCGAATATTGAAATTTATTTTTATTAAACTGATAGCTATTTTCGAGATAACTAACAACACTCGCCAAAAACTTAAGCCTTCTTTTAAGTAATTTAAGTTCCATCATATTATAGCAACTGGTGCGTAACGACCCGGCGATATGCCCATAAAACGATTGATCTTTTTGTTGTATTAATTTCTTGGGCATATCAAATATTATCCAGAACATGTCAAATATAATTAAATTATTTTCTTCTTATTTTTTACAGTACAGTTTAAGGAAGTTCCAACGTTATGTAAAAACCTTAAGAAAATACTAAAGTATTTTGTTTGAATAGAAAATTCAGTACAAATCAGTACAAATTTTGACAAATCAGGGCTCGAATCGTTACATCCGTTCACGGGTCGAAAACCATATGAAAGAAAATTACGTGATACCGTCAGTCGTATAAGCTAAATGGGGTAAAAAGTACGTTCACGTATGTCATAATCCGAAAACTGTGTTTTTACGTGACGAATAATACGATCTCGTATGTGACGATTCGAGCCCTGGACATTAGCGTACTGATTGAAGAAATGAATAAAATCAGTACAAGAGTTGAAAAATCAGTACTGTACTGATAAAATCAGTACGTCTGGCAACCGTAATTCCCGCAGTGTTGAAGTTGGCAGCAACGCTGCGATTCCTCGCCGAAGGTGGGTATCAAAGGTCTGTGGGAGTGGACTCAAGCATCGCTTTGGGAAGGAGCACCGTCTCCAAGAGAATTTCAGAAATAATTTGCTCAAAGTGGATAAAATTGTTCATGCCTGAGCAGGAGAAAAGAGCCGCCAAAAGTTCTTTCTACGAAGAATTTGGTATTCCGGGTGTGATTGGATGTATTGACGGCACGCACATCAACCTATTGCAACCACAAGACGGGTCTGCTTTTTTTAACCGAAAAGGAAATTTTAGCATTAATGCAATGATTGTAAGTTGCCACAATTACTGGATTTTATATGGAAAAAAGTTTTCGTAAATTTGTTTCTTATTTATTTCAGATTTGCGATCATAATATGGTTATTAGAGCTATTGATGCTTGTCATCCCGGTTCTAGCCATGACTGCTTTATATGGAGCATGAGCAATGCAAGACAGTTTGTCATGACGAAGTATCGAGATGTTGATCACAATTCGTGGTTATTGGGCGATGCCGGGTATGCTCTGGAACCTTTTCTATTAACACCATATAGAAATCCAGAACCACGGTCTATACAACACGCGTTTAACAAAACACATTCTTCGGCACGTAATATAGTTGAACGAACAATTGGGGTTCTTAAAACTCGTTTTCGGTGTTTATTTGGAACCTTGTAGTACAAACCAAAAAAGGTTGTGAAAATAATTAATGTATGTGTTGCCTTGCATAATATTTGTCGCCACTATAATCTTGAATATGACTATGATGAACCTGAAGAAAACGCCAGCGAAGTAGATAGATTTGTACCAACAGACATTAACTTGCAAAGTGAAGCACAAAGAATTAGAGACGAAATTGCGAATAATATTATATAATATTTTAATGAAAACAAGTATATTTAATAAAAACAAGTATTGTAATTATAAATAAACAATTTTCACAAAAAACTAAACATTTTAAGACTTTTAAAATTTGAAACGCTCTAAATCTAACTCAAGCTGTCGCAGTTTAATTTGGTTTTTTTTTGCCAGCAATGCTTCCTCCACTTTTTTACGGTGACTATTCATGTCGCTGCGGATGTTTTCTAAGGTGGCATCAATTTTGTCTAAGCCGCGGTAAACTCGTCTGACGTCGCTCTCGGTGTCTTTTTGATTTTTCGCCAGTCCTGCTATGCTTCCAGAAAAGCTTTCATGGAATTTGTTTTCCGCTTGCATGAATGCCTTCACGGAATCCTAGAAATATACAAAAGGTATAATATATACATACATACATAAACATATACACATAAGTACATATGTAAGTATTCATATTTTATTTTTAATTTACCTGTAGTGAGGGATTATTTCTGTGCCTCTTTGGGGTCGGAGACGGATTGGTTTCCTCCTCACGGACTCTTGCGTATGTGGTAGGCAAATCATCATCGCTTAAGTCGGGCGCGGATACTGCCTCCTCCCCAGTTCCAAAAGAAGTGGACATTGATATGCCTTCTACAACAGCGTACAGTCCGCAAATTCTTGCTACCGTTTCCACCGCCTCCGACAATGTGCACTTTTTAAATGGGCCGCCTCCGGTAGTCACGGCCTCTCTTCTGTTGTGTGCCAATTTCTTCCTCACTTCACTTTTCCAGTCAGTCCAGGTCTAGTTGGAAAAAAATCTATTATTGTTATCCTTATAATCACAATGATTTTTATTATTATTATTATTATATATATGAAAAGAAGTGACAATCCACTGCTTTACATTCAGATGGAGCACTAGTGTTAATCACAATGATATTTTACCTTCTTCCACTCATTTGCGTGTTTTATTGGTGGTCCTTGGCTATTTAACGACTCAGTTAGTTGGCGCCACTTTTCCTCAAGAGCCACTTTGTCTCCTTTGAAGAAGCCTTTGGCTATGTCTGGATTTACTTCCATGAAATCCAACATATTTTTGCTTTGCTCCGTCTTGTGCTTTCCCCTGCATTTTCTTAATTTTAATTTTAATATTTACCACTTTTATTTTCTTTACTTACATTCTTTGCTGTTTGCTGACTATAAAATTTTTCCTTTGACCGTTAACAGTTATATTTTGGTTTTTCGTTTTGATCATTTTCTATTCCAGTGGCTTTTAGCTGATCGGAACATTTCCGATAAAAAATTTTCGATAATCGGAATGCAGAACATCAAATTTCCAATAGAATTCCGATTCGAAGTGGATCGAAATGTAGAACAAGGCGGAATCGGAAATAATTTCAGATTGTCGGAATGCAGAACACCAACAATCGGAAACAAATCCGATTCCGATTCGAATCGGATTGCAGAACAGGGCTGTATGGCTCGATAAAAGTTCAACCTTTGGCAATTTATAAAATTAAGCATTATAGAAGTTGTTATGTTCCAGGTTCTGGACGGAGATCCTAACCACTCCCCGAATGTAAGAGTCTGTAACCTATGATACATGGGCAACCGCATTATGTGTTCCGAACCTAGAATTGCTATCCTAGAGCATGTATCCGACAGTAGAGCAGACTTTGGGTGCCCTTGCCATAGTTGCGATTAACTCTGTGCACAAAATGCACCAAAGCGAATAGGCAGCTAAACGGAATGTGCTATGGTATGGATTTAGCTCCTAGCTATTTTCAAAATTATCTAGTACTTTTTTAGCTCCAGAAAGTTTTTGTTGTATATTAATATTAAAAATCTGTAATTTCATTGTACAAGTGTCTAAAATTCATTTAGCTTTGGTGATCTCAGGCTATTTTCGATACCTTCATGTTATTCCAATTTGTCACAGGGCGAAGACGTCGTCGCTCTGGCGAAGTCGTTTTGGTGAACTCGAAACGAAGTCGTTTTTACCTTCCCTTTATTAGCTCGGGATGTAACTATGTAATATTGATGCGCCTAAAAGATGCAGCGATTTCTATTCTCAGGTTACATACCTGATGACAGTACGAATGACAATTATAATAGGGAGGTTTTAGTTTTTTAAACTATAATTTTTTATTTCCATACAAAATTCAACATCGTTCCGACGTCGTTTTTTCTCATCGAATCGAAGTCGTTGCGACGTTGGTCTGGTGAAGTTGTTCGGGTGAACTCGAAGCGAATCCGTTTCTTCAATCCCAAAAGTTTTTTGAGGAACCTTCGGTCTGGGTCGGACAAGTTCCACGCCCACATTATTATATATCTAAGTATAAATAAAAGTCATTCATTGGGATAGTAACCCGTTTTTATTATGACAGAATCCACAATGTACACTTGTACTCAGAAAATTAAGCCGCCTACATCCTTTTTTCAGTATTCATAATATTCTTCATATTAACTTTTTTATTTTTTTTTTTATAAATGTACTGTTTACTCTATTGGCCTTATTAATGAATTAATATTAATATTATTTCGATTAATACGGATTTTGTTTTCACCTCACTAATTTTACCTTAAGGAGAGAAGGAAATAAAACTTTTCAGAAAAATTTGTCGAGTTTTTATGGTCAACTCAACTATTTGAAAATGCAGATTTTAATAGTTTTTAAAGTATTTTTAGTTCATCGTCTAGTTTATATAAGTATATGCATACACATAAAATTAAAGGCGCCGTAGCAATGAATTCGAAATAGTACAGGGGTGGGCCAGGCCGAGACTGAAAAGAGCCACATGTAAATTCTACATAAATGCTGCAAAGAGCAAAAAAAAACAAAAATTTTATTTATAAATAAAATTATTATTAGAAATGAAAAACATTAATTTTATTTTTATTCTAATGTACGTAAGACAGATATTAAAGAAATTCAAAAGATCACTTTGGCCTAATTTTCAAAATCTGGTTTTACGTCACTTAAAGCTGCTCGTAACAGTTCTGTTAAATGTTTGTTAGTCAATAGGGACGTTCGTTTAAAATCTCCAGTAAAAAATGTCAAACAGCAAAATTCCGGCGAAATGTTATCTGTTCGCTCACAGGAATAAATATCCAAAATAGTACGCGAACAGAAAATTTGCGGAAACTTGCAAGTTAGACGAACAGCTGATAGAAATTCTGTTTCATTCAAAAGTTTAAAATTGAAAACGTAAGAAAACAAATCCCGAAGTCGTATCCTGACACAGCTCACTGACTAAACGAATAATTACTTACTACTTACATGTTTAATTAGTCGCATTTTACTATTTTAACTTCCAAACCATGAAGTTCAATTTAGAGATTTTCGTAAATTCCAACCAGCTGATCCAACTACCAGCTTTCCCTCAAAATGAAATTTCATTTTGCTCTTTCGAAAAAAATATCTTGTTTTTTTATTTATTGATATTTTACGTTCAAAAATAGTGAGCTA